GTGTTTTAGTGACAAGCAGTTCAAGCAAAGTACAAAAACCATCATCTACGGAGACTACACTGACTTGAGAATGTGAGATACCACATTTAAAGCCTGTGCATGTGCCTAAAATAAATATACACTAGGTCATCCATGGCTCTTCCCTGCAAGAAGCCTTGCACCAAGCTGAAAGAATGACAATTTAATTGCAACAAAAAGAAACTGAATATCTGCCTCCTACCCACACTGAGCTTGCTCCCCCATTAGGCGCACTGAAGGCAGCTGACAAATACCCATTAGCTTCTGTGAGTTTCCAGATTTTCCTTCTGTTTTAGGCATTGCACTCATAATGTTTTCAGCAGCGGCTTCATTGAACTCATGGATCATTGACTCACAGCTGAAGACTCAGCTTTGCTGTTTTTTTGCCCTTGGAGGCCAGTTGTAAATGGTAGGTCAGGTGCAATTCTCCCAAAATGTGATAATCTGGCCAGAGCGGGCAGTCTCAGTTTTCACCCACTGAAGATAATGGGCTTTACCTCAAAATAAATAACAAGTCAAAAAATAGCAAAACATTCATTTTAGTTGTAAATGTATGGAAGATGTCTTTGGAAATGCTGTGAGTTAGAGATATAAATGTGCTTATAAGCAGACATCTAAAATTAGTGATGTACTCATCTATGGGGTTTCAGATACTATTATTCAGATATTATTATTCCGAGTGCTATTTCAAGGCTAACTTTCTGCAAGCTAGTTTATTAAACATTAGGGCAAATCCTAAGCAGCTTTTTTAATGATTAGGTATTTAAGCATCTCTGGGCAAGAGGATGAAAGCAACATCAGGCCCTTCATTTCTGTAAAGCACTTGCAGAGTCTCACACGAAAGACACTTTGCCAAACAAGCAAACTTCAAGTCTTTGACTTTAGATAACTCTTGTTCATCAAAAAAAGTCATTCACTGACTTCAGAGGCAGCTTTAGGGAATGCAGGCTTCAGGATGTCCTCTTTCAGCAGTATTTTGAAGACAGAGCCAGCTCCTGAGGGACACTGAGTGCCTGCAACTGACTTTGACAAGTTCTGCAGGTGCTCAGCTGCTACTGGGATTTAACTCATAGCCAACAGGACTAGAACTGGCTTTTTCTCGAGGATGGCCTGAGCCTTGCCTTGAGTATGTGGATGTGTGAACTTTAACATCTGTGTTTCTCTTGAACAGGGGGAAAAACCCACTTAAACAGGGTCCTGCATACCTGAGTCCCACAGACCTAGTTGTGCTGCATGCTGTAACAGAACCCTCCTCTGATTCTGGACAGGTATGGGGAGGGCAGAAAAGATGCCCTTCCTTTTTTTTCACCACATCACCTCAGAGCATTTTGTTTCAGTACAAATCAAGGATTTCCCTTACACTTTTGATCATCAAAAGAGCAGGGCATAGTGCTGTGCTCTGAAACAGAACCAGAATTTCCAAGTGTCTCCAGCATACCACACACCGCAGCCCATCGAGGGCTTGTGTAACATTTGGTATGGAGCCAGTGGCCAGTCAATACAAAAAGGCTCAGTGTCAAACGCAGCCCGTGGAGAATTCAGCACGCAGCTCTCATTAGTGCCCATAGGAGCCTGGCTACCAAGCCTTCACACCTCTTTAAAGATGTTTCCTCCGTCTTTTAACAGACATTTGCACAAATCTAGTCCCAAGCTGAGACCAAGCAGGCAGAAGTTTTAGCTGGGGAAAAAATAGTTGTAGCTGGCCCTTTTCCACACCAGAGAGCATCTGTCCACCAGCTGTGTTTAGAGGACAGCAGGCATAAGGAAGAGATCGGGCAGACATCTGAGAAACAAGTAGATGGTGCCGAAATTTGTCGTGAAAAGAACACCAGCCTTCCTCTCTGATGTCCAAAACCTTTGCCCTCCTACATTCCCGATCCTTTTCTCTTCCCAGGTCTCAAGGCAATTATTGGAAAATCGCCCATCCAGGAGAACACTGTTACCCCTTCTGGGTTTGGGAAGGGATCCAGCAGGGCTCCAGAGTCAAAGCACTGGGAAGTGTGGAAACTGGGAGAAGAAATGTGAGGAAATTCTGGAAAAAAAGGAAGGACCTTGTAGAGAGGCAGAAGGAAAAGATCTGCAGTGAGGCAGAGGCAGGATGCCTGTAAGTCCTCAAATACTGCAGCAGTGGATCAGGATAAAAAAGGCAGATGGAAAGGAACCAAATGAGCCTTTTACTCATTACAGGCTGCAAAGTTATGATTTTAAAAAAAACAAAAACAAAACAAAAAAAACAAAGAAAAAACAAAAAGCTTTTTTAAGGATTTTGTATTTTTTCCCATTTCATCTGAAGTGGCTGGAGAAGATTTGTAAACTATTTGTAAAACCAGTAAATTACTGCAAATTATACAAAGACTAAAGAAGCAGGCGGCTTTTTATTTTCTAAAATGATAATGCCATTTCTTGAAAAAATGCTAATAAAATGCTCTGCTGGAAAGAGCCTTATCTGATAGGGATGGTATTCACAGGCACCCACTGAAACTCACACCGCTTTTTAGATTAAATTGACAACAGAGCCCTTCCCCCCAGCCCCAGATTAATGGGATGAAGAATCCATGCATGAAGCCACATATAATAAAGCTTGGAGATTACGAAACAGGCTGGAAGACAGGATCAGAACTGCAATTGATCTTGATGAAGTGGGGAAATTGCCCCAATTAAAGCAGAATGGATTTAATAAAGAGAAGTTGAAAGTGTTACACTTTGGGAGGTGTAGTAAACAAACACAAATAAAAGTGGGAGCTCCTGGGAAAGCAGCAGTGAATGACCCAGGAATTGTAACAGAAGACAGGATAGATCCAAGTCAGCCATGGGATGTTCTTGTAGAAAATGATACGGGATATATTTTCTGATACGCTGTACATCAGCCTCAGGAGACAGTTACTCTGCTTAGCTTGTTACTATGTAAAACCCCTGCTGGAGTTCTGCATTTTGGGAAAACTGGAGAGTTGTGAGGGGAGTTGGAGCAAAAATCAGAGACCTAGAAAATACTAGTAAAGGAACTAGGACAGATGCACGCTAGCGAGGAAAGTAGGATAGTTCCTCTCAAATATAGAATAATCTTGTAAGATCATCTGTTCTTCCTGTCAATCAGGACTTGAAGGGAAAGTGGCTTAATTTGCAGTGAAGAAATTACAAACAGTCTCTTAGGAAAACCTTCCGATTACGAGGACAGTGAAGATCATGGATCCCTGTCGCTGGACGTTTCAAGTGCCTGCAAGCTGCACATCACCTGGCATGGTTCACCCAGACTCACAGCAATGAAGGTGGACTAAAATCACATTTTTCAAGCTCTGGTCTGTGGACTCACAAAGGTCTGCTGACTACTTCTAGGAGAAATGAATGCCAGGGTCACACAGGGGCTGGCTCTTCTGCTGGCGAAAGTGATGGAGGTCACAGGTCGACAAAGAATTTAAAATAATTTTTTTAAGGTTCCTTTCAGCTTTACATCTATGACTTTGGGATTACCGGTGTTTTGAAGGGCAAAAGTTATTCCTTTATAAATCAATAGCCACAATCCCTTCCTGTAACAGGGTCTTAGGGCTTGTTCTCTCCTACCATTTGTTAGAGAGCAGCAAAGCAGATCTTGTGGCAGCAGTGGATGCCACGCTTTCTGTCGTGCTCGGCTGTCCGATTCACAGGCCCCAAAAGGAGCAACCGGGACACATGAATGTGTGGGCCAACACAGCTCTGCCTCTTTGGAGGCAGCTGCTCTCTGCTGCTAGAGCCTTTGGCCCGTGTTTGCCTTTGAGTGCCCAGACACAGTGACCACTCAGTTCACGTACATCTGCCAAAGGATTAATTAAGCCCTTTATCTCTGAAAGAAAAAACAGTAAACATTACCACAGATACTCTTAAGTCATCAGAAGAATGACTAGCACAGAGTTACCGGTGCTTCCTTCCTAATGAGTCCCAGGCAGGTTCCTACAAATGCTCAAAAGACATCACCTTCCAGGGGCAACCTGTACACTCAGGACTCTATGTCCCCTTACCAAAGCACAGTTAATATTAGAGCTAGAAACAGGGGCACAACACCTGTGGCTATCATCATAGCATTAGACACCAGATTGCTTATCCACAGGTATACCTCTGGGCACGTTTCCCAGAAAAAGCTGTTTTGCCTACAGATAAATGCATATGCAACTCCTGATGACTTTGCTGGGCACTACACCTGTACCCAAGGGAAGGATTTTAGTATCATGACTATTGTATGAAAAACTTTGTTATGTTAAACCATGAAGCTGCAGGGTGAGGTCTGCTCCTCTCTGGTTATCACTGGCATGGAAGGATGGGTTTCCACGGATGAGGAGGCACAGCAAACAGCAACAAGCACCCCTGCGTGTTGCTGCTGCATCAACCACGGTCTCGCTTCTCCAAGATCGCAACATTCACACAGAAGTTGCCATTACCTAAATGTTTCAGACAACATCTTGTGTGAACTACTATGCAGGAAAAAAGCCTAATTGTCAGACCTGCTGTGTCTTTGCGGATTAATGACAGTTCTGACATTTTTACAGTTTGTTGCAGAAACTGTAGAGGCTTTAAAAGACCAAGAACACAGGAGGATTAGCACCTCAGAGTCATGAAACAGCCTCCTACCGTGTTGATAGCTACAGCCAAAACTGTGTTCTCTGAGCATGCCAAAAGCTATCAACGTGGAAGAGCACCCGACATAGATACTCAAACAAAAGAACAAGAGGTTAACATGCACTGTCAAAATAAAACTTCTGAAGCCTAGAAAAGAAATATATTAATGTCACTTTGCCATTGTGAAGGCCACATCTTTGCCTACTTCTTGCTGTGGTTTTCAGAGACAGAGCATCAGGAATGTTGTGGCATGGAGCAGATTTGTCTTGCTAACAATATGCTGCTAAATAAATGAAGCTTTGACATTAAATCACCCCCCCACCATTCCATCCCATCCCACCCAAACCCTGCATTGTAGATAACCTATACATTCTCAGGATACAGTGAGAAATCATTCCACAGTACATATTTAATTATAATTTAAAAAAGTCTAACTTGGACACAATCTCTGGCCAGTAGCAAAGTATCGACACATTACTGAAGTAAAGACCTGTTATCACCCCTTCACTGTAACAAACAGAAATCAGCATCTCAAGAAGGGTTTCCGGGGGTATCATATCACAACCACTCGCACCAAATAAAAAAATATGCTAATTTCACAAGTGAAAGTTGACAAGAAGTAACATTGCATTTGTCTTGGCGAAACGAAGCACGAACGTAACATTTCACAGGTACAGTTACCATGCAAATGCATGTTGAGTTTGTCATTGTTTTTAACCCCAAATCACGAGTAGCATGCAGTTCTCCTGCCCCCCCAACTACTGTATTAGAGATAGTCTGGGTAATGTACCTCTTCGGTGTAACCATAGCCTGTTAGGCAAGATTATACCACCTTAGGAAAGAATACAAGCAAAACTTCATCATATGTATGTTTGCACAATGTACATTTTACCATTTTAAAAAACAAAAACCAAAAACATGTTACATAGATTCTTAAACACAGCTCTGTCGAAAATGAAATTTTAAGCTTAGGAAACAGTTTTTAAACTACAAGGCCACCCCATTATTTCTATGAACAATTTAAAAAGTTCCCACCCCTAAAAATCTGCCAGTATATTTCCTCAGCTGTAACAGTCTTACCCACTCTCTAATACAGTTGTCTTTGCTCGACAGCAATAACAGTTCTTACATTTCTTAAATGCATGAGATAATGGACTCCAGGATAGCTATAGTCCTTAAATGTGTAACAGTGGAAGAAATCCGCTTTAAATGATTAATTGGTCAATTCAGGTGTTCCCCGGCACCACCGCTCAGGCAGAGGCTTCTGCTGTTCACTGGTGTGAGTTCTGGCTTTTGTTGGCCCTCAGCTCCACGGCCACACGAGTGTGTTCAAAATCTGAGAGCAACAGCAATTCACTGGATACTCTGGTACCCCGTTTGCTCCAAAACAGGGAGGAGCTTTGTTTTCTGTATTCCCTCATCCAAACGGGGACGCAGCTCCGGCGCAGCACCTTTGGCCAACACAGAACTATTTGGATGCAAAGTAGAATTTTTAATTTATTTTTTTTTCGTAGTCGTTAAAGCAACGGGTTTAAGCAACTGCAACAGCAGACCTAACTTGCAGGGTCTTTATTAGAGGGTTACCATCTTCCTCAGCTTTATACAATGGAGCCCTTTGAAGAAGACAAATGAATTGACTGAATCCTTGTGGCCAACGTCCTCTGTAAGTCCTGTAGTACATTCTGACCAGACGTCTCTCCGTTCTTGTCATACAACAGCTGTTTGAAAGCTTCGTTTTCAATAAGGACCATCATATTTTTTAGAAAGTACCCTTCGCAATAGGAAGATAGTTCTGTGACTCCGAGAAACTACAAGAAGTGAAATTAGAGAAAGGTAACCATTTTGAGAAAACCCACTCAACAAATACAGTGTGTAAGAGCTGCACACAAACACACAAGCTAAGCCTTTCAGACAGACACAGTTATGCTTACACAGATATATACGAGGGAGGGGAAGGAGTTAATCAAACAGTATTTTACGCTGATTATTCTGGTCACAATTCCATATTGGAAGACCCTGGTTGTTAAGGAAACAAACTTTAGGGCTGTATATATGCTCCCTTGGAAATGAGTGGGAGTTTTACCACAGTTTCCTAGACCCATGATTTCATGCTAGAAGTTACACCCTAAAACTATAGGTTTGGGTCAACTTACTACAGACCAAGTTTAATGAACGGCATCCTTAGCAAGGATGGGTCACACGACCTGTCGCGCCAAGTTTCATGCTTCAAGGAATCTTTTGAGGAGAAACAGAGGTTTGCAGAGCATGTGGCTTGGGGCTTCCAGTATCCCCTTGTGCTGAACTGTATCTGCGAAACAGGCAGCGATATCATAATGTGCAAGGAAACCTTAACTGTGGGAGCAAAAATGTATGAGCAAACCTTAAATGACCCATACCAGTCATTTGATAGGTGATCTGTACTGGTCACCACCCATGGCTGGATCCTGTGGTCATACAAGGAGCATAGCCATGATATTCCACTACAGGTGTAATTTTAAGCCATGCAAGTGTAGAGAGCAGTGCTCGGCCCATCCTCCTGCCTAGGGCAAGCTCCTCGAGCTTTGGGTAAACCTTTGGCTGTGTGGTGCAGCCTGAAGGGCCCCAACTGCTGGGGCATTTCATAGCTTTGGGTCCAGACTGGAATAACTACACAGATGTGCTGCCCACCAACACCTTAACTTCACATCTGGAACTAAGAATGGAAAATGCTATAAATAAATAAAAACAAACAAAAAACCCCAAAACAAAACAGATTTGAGCTAAGTAGGATCTGTCTTCCCAAGAAAAAAGAATGAATTTAATTTGTTTTCAAACCATGCAAGTTTGCATCAAATTATGAGTACATTATTTACAAACACGGATGTGAGAGCATATGTGTGAATCTGTATTCTTCTCCAAAACACCATTCATTCCTATTAATAATTTCAATATATTCAGGACATTGAGGAAATAATGTACTTTTCTTTTTCAGATTTGTTCTCAGACTGCAATCTGTGCAAGTGCTGAGTGGTTAAGGCATGTATTTGAAACTCCAAATTATTTTCTTGGGAGTTTCAAGGCACTCATGTAAAGTATAACTGGTATCTAGTGGTAACTAATCAATCACTATTATAAATCCAATTTGTCCAGTTACTTCATTTCCTTCTGGAAGTAAAGACCAGTGACAAAGGCTTTGAAAAATGAAACTCTTAAAGTGATACTAATCAAATTGCTGCCTTTGTAGATGTTGCAACTTTAGGAATGGAAAGCCCATAGGGATGTCACTGATTATTTTAACGCTCTCAATTCAGCTTTCCAATTGTAAATGTGACAAAATCCACATTGTCTCGCCTTCCTACCAGTACTTAAGATCTCAAGATCTTGTTCCTACAGCTCCTTTTACACAGCTCACCACCCTACTAAACAACTGTCCTACAACCTAGGCCTCCAACACAGATAGCTTTCCAAATCTGTGCTTGTTTCATATTGCGCTTACACCAAATTGAGAGAAAGATACAATCTCCACGTGTCTCTGGGCCTACCTGCTAGCACATCCTCATCTGGAAAAGCAGGTCTCTGCATCACCTGAGTTCCTGCAGATGCAGCTGTGCTTGCAAAGCAGCGAGGACTAGAAATGGTACCTACAACAGGTGCAAGTTACTCAAAACCTGCTCCTCGCTGATGCAGTGGTTCCTGGCTTCAGTGCCTGATCATCTTATTCCCATCCTCACTGCGGTCTAACAGTGTCTGCTCTGCAGACAGCATAATAGAGAGGTATCTGAAGTAGCTTTAAATGTCCTATTTGAGGTCCCGGAAACCTTCTAGTTCTCACAGTATGAAGCTTAGCCCTGGCAATTTACTGGAAGCAGGGTAAATTAGCCCATGCTGAGCTCTAGGGTGATGTGACTTAACTAATTCCAGAAGTCAAGGTTTCATTCACAGGTAGCTTGGGCATCTCTGCCCACATCAGTGACTGCAAACATGACCCTGGCTGTAAAAGCCTCTCAAGTCCACTGTTTCCACTGCATCCACTGGGAGATGCAGGCACAAAAACTTGCAAGGCTGGGGCCCTTGAAGGGAAACAAGGAGCTGGATTTAGCCACTGGGTTTGTTCAGTCCCAGCACCGGCAGTGTAGAAGGTCCTCAGACAGGTCTAGAGCTCCGTGTGAGAACTTTCTTCAATCAGGAGGTAAATAACAGCCACATTTCACAATTTGAAGAAAATACGTAATTTCAAAACAAAATTATTCATTTTGCTTTTAGTGGCAGTAATACAAACCAAGAAGTTCCCACATGACCTAGAAGATAAATAATTTTCAAAAGATCCCTGCACTGCTGATTTTTTTCTTATTACAATAAATGGACCTGCAGATACACCTCATTTCTTATTCATTTTACAGGTGGAAAGTTATGCTCTTTCAAACACTGATTGCATGTTATCTGTACATCAATACCTAACATTACTACTCTCTGTAGGAAATACCTGATGATGGGAATGGAGATCAGATCTGCAGGGGTTTGGAGCAATCTGCAGGATTACTCTGTTCAATCAAACCTCCACGTCACGCTGCACCATTTTATCTTTTGTACAGACCATGTAAATTATAGAAAAAATCATCCAAGGAGTGCCTTAAAAATATCTCATTGCAACTATTTGTGTATGGTTTCCATCTTCCAAGCTAAGCACACTACTAAGCACACAAGATGAGGGGAAAAACTGAAACTAATCAATGTAGCAACCACCTCTATCAATGAGCAAAAATAGGTTTTCTAGGTCAAAAAATGCCACGCTTTTATGCTTAACAACTTAGCCTCCCTCAAAAGCTAAGTAAATAATTTGATTCCAATAAGAAGCTGTGAATCTCTCCTCTCCAAGACATAGAATTCTCATTACCATCCGTGCACGGCTCTGATACGTTGCACTTTGACAACGTGGCACTTCTATATATTGACAAGCTGTCACCAGCATTAAGTATATCACCCCAGTGGGCTTCAGGCAGGAGGAAACAGGGAACTGTAATGGGAAAATGCAGCTTGGAAGGTGAGAGAGAGGTGTCTTATTCACTCAGGTGACTCCTGTTGGATAACTCAGCAGCTTAGGCTGCCACGATAAGGGACAGGTCTGCCACATGGTGGTACACTCAAGCTGAGTTTGAAGCACTTAGGAGATGGGGATGAGCAGTTGGCACTGATGCTCTTACCCTACATGGCTTGGGACTGGCAATATACTAGGTACCTATTTGTCACTCAGTCCCAGTAAATGCATGACCAATCTTAAATACATAACAAACATACTTAGCAAATTAAATATGTATCACTACTTATAAAACTGACCTACGAGTATGACGACAGACGCATAACATGCAAGCATATGCGGTTATTTTTACCTTGGCATGATTATAAATATCCACGCAGTTTTCTGTATTAATGCTTTTTGCGCAAATGATCTCACAGTGTCGTTGCAAAGCTTCAAGCTGGAAAAATTTAGCAGCGGAGAGAAGCTAAAAAAAAAAAGGCACGGAAAAAAGAAGTCAAAACTGCTGAGCAATACAGAATCAGAGCTTGCTTCTTTTCTGTTTCATTGTATTTTTTTTTCTCTGTCCCTGCTTCAATTAGCACAAAAGTACTGACAAGCAGTCAGAATGAGAAGGTTGCTTGGTTTCTTCAACCCTTTGCAGTCCCCTCTAGATCACACTGTGGGAAGGTGTACATGGAAAGACCACCACAGGCTGCTCAGGTCCATGTGCTCACTTCGGGATGAGGTGGCAGGGGGCCGTGTGAAAGACAAAAAAAAGGAAATAGCAGCTTGGAGAGTCTTTGGTCACTTTGCAAACATAACTCTGCAAGAAGGGATCTGCAATTACACTCCAGGAAAAAAGGGTTCAGGTTCAACTGTTCCCCAAGCTCTGGCTGAAACAGAGCACCTGGGCTGGAAGTGGGGATGTCAGCAGAAGGGTGCCAGGACCAAGAGCACAGAGCAATTAAAATCAGATGATGATGACCACCCTGGGCAGTCTTAAAAATTCAGAGAGACAATAAACCTCAGATCTGACACCTCAGCAGGCTCAAGGAAATGGAGTCAGATCTTGTTAACTGCCTCGTTAACACTCGTGTTAGTGTCATGTGTCTGTACCCCTGCGCTACCATGGCCCTCCTGCCATCAGGTCTCAAGCTGACTTTCCTCTTTGGCCTTATATATATCTCCACCCTATGGATATACTACCTGGACTGGCACTGCCCTGGAGTCTCTGCATGCCACTGTATACTACGGGCATGACCACAGTGGGATGAAAGCCTGCAGGGTGGAAATGGCTTAAATTTTGAGTTCTCCAACTGACTTCAGTAGTGCAAAGATTTCCTCAACTGAATCGCTTCTGTCCTCTTAGGACAGGAAAAAGTAATTTCATTTTCTGTCTTCCCATGGTAGGTCATTGCCTCTGGCTCTCTGCTCTGGCTTAGGAAGCAGCTTGGGGTTCTTCATTGCTTGACACCTTGGTCTAACCCAGTCAGGTATCTTAGGCCGAGCTGTCCAGGTGTTTAGGCATTTATATGGCCCTTATCATGTAGAACTGCATGACAAAAAGCTATCCTGTGAATCCCAAAAGGGCTCACTTGCTGCAAGGTAAGAGCACTGGGGAACAAAACCTTGAAACTTCCATGACATTATTCTGACTTCTCTTATGCAGTCTGCTCAAGCTCTGCTTTAATCCCATAAATAAATCCAAGTGCTGGAAATGTGCAGCGCTGATGTGATAGCAGCCAGCTGGCCCCAATTATGAATTGCAGCAAAGATTTCTGTGGAGTATTTCTGGTGCTTCTTGTTATCATATTTGTAATAAGGCAAGTTGCTAAATGCAGTTTTGAAAGATAAAGCCAAATCCTATTCCAGCTGCCTCTGCGGCTCAAGCAGTCACGTGCTGGTTTGTAATTACTTTAAACTGTGAGGAACCATGGCCAGATCTGTTATCAACAGATCAATCAATCAGTCATACATTCTTGAGTCACAGAAGTTTTGAGATGTCACAAAAGTAGAGCAAGCAGCCAGCTGAACTGCAGCACCAACTTTTTAACCACCCAGGTGATAACGTGCGCATATCTATAAAGCTGTTGCACTGCACAGTCTAAGACTCCTTATTTCAGAAAGGGTTAGAAATTCAGGAGCTTCTTTCAAAACTACAAGTGAAATAAAGAATCTGTGACCTTTTTCTATAAAGCTCAGAAAGTCAACGTGGGGATGGTTTGTTAAAAATCCACCGCCTGCACTGGAGAAGAGATAATTCCAGTCCTGACCAGTTCCATCCCCGTTGGAACAGATATGCCTGTACCTGTATCCATCAGAACTGATTCTCTCTGGCCACTCATACCCCAAAAAAGAGTTGCTGCCAGTTTCTGCTTAGCAGCACTTTGGTAAAAGTGAAGCCTTGCATGGATGCCCCAGACAGTAGTGTCATAGGGACATATTAACTAATGTAGGCAATGATGAAACGTCATGGTGGCAGACTATCATCTGTGGACTGATGCTTACCAGCTGTTTAAGTAGCTCTGATTTTAGTATTTACTGTCCTGTACTCTTTTTGGCTGCCATAATTTGGTGATCATCAACAGGAAAATTCTCTGAACGACTATAAAGAATTTGCTCAAATATTTCTAAGTTCTATATAGTTAGGATTTGTTAGGCTGATCATAGCTGCTAATGACAGCACACAGTATTTGGAAGAGGATGATTTAACATGCACAAAGGCCGTGGATGTGTGGCTATACTGAAGGCTCAGTCAGCTCCACTCGGCTGGGTTTGGCTTTTGCCAATGAGCAGAATGGCATTGGATGTTTTACATCTAGTAAGAAAGAGGCAAAGAAGTCTCTGTATCTCAGGGAGCAGCTTATGGTTTTATTCAGAAAATCTGACAGTCACATGCCTGAAACTGAACTCAACTGTGACTCCAGCGGGACTTCTCCCACGGTTAAAGCCAGGTACACGGCCAAGAATTCTTCTGAGTGAGGAACCAAACTGGATCCTTTTTACGCTGCTGAGATATGTCTGGACACGTAAGTCTGTGCTAATAAACCAAAATTAAGACTGTGGCAGAGAGAAGCTGACCAGCCCAGCTGGAGTAGAGCACCTCACCTATCCAGCTGAGAGAGAGACAGAGAGAATGGTTTATCATGCTGCTGGGAGTTGCTTCCAGATTTTGGTAACACCAGCTCAGCATTTCCTTGAAAAAGCCTCTCAAACCATCTAACTAGATATTCTTATTTCAGATACTTTTTTTTTTGCTTGATGACCATATTTTTTTCTACCCTTTCTTCTCTGACAGACAACTTCATACTGGTAAAAGTTACCATAACAGGCAACCAGCAGAGGAGGAGACTGAGTCCCTCCCACAGGACTGCGGACAGCCTGGGCACTGCTGGCACTGACAGGAGTGCTTGTGTCTTGCCCAATGGCCACATGCCCTTGGGTGAACGGTACACAGATCACTTAGCATTGCTCCCACTGCAATTAAGATAAATGTCTCTTACCTCCATAATTTCATTATTTTTAATCAGGAGTGACTCTGCACCTCCGTAATAAAGATACTGCATAACCAGCTGTAATAAAACAGAGGGAGTGTTTAAAAAAACCAATCCAAGACACCAGGGAACAGGGGGCAATGTAAAGATTGCAGGCAATACCCAACGCTCCCCAACACCATCAAAGATTTGTAGATAAAACTGTCCCAAAACTCTTGGTTTCAAGATGAATTTTGTTTCTCTCTCTCTCTCCACAGTTCAATGTTTCCTTCTTAAAGGCAGTCTGTCTCAACCCTCACCAGCTAGTCCTGTCTGGACTTTCTGGTGAGCTCCAAACAGTTTGCAGGAAGCTGATTAATTAATTCTGAATTTTCAATGTATTTCCCAGTATGTTAAGTACATCATCGGTTCAGGAAAACATAGCATATATAATGGTTATTCCCTTATTCCTTCCCTGGCAATGGCATCCCCAGCTTCACCCAGCTGTGTGTGGGCATGCATGGATGATGAGAAGAGTGGGGGAGGCTTTGCACTGTAATAGGAGCCAGCTAAGATCCCTCTGCAGTGAGCTTCCAGCAAGCCTCAAGTTATCATAGGCAGCTGGGAATTATCTGCAGCGGTACCAGTCGATACACGGAGCTGTCTGAGCTCTGACTCAAATAAAGGGAAGCATTTACGTGTATATGCTACAGATAGAGGAAGCAAGCTCTGGATTTTCATGGCAAAAAATTGATGGAACGATACTGCTAAGGAAGAGAATGAACTGTGTCTCTTCCAAACCTGCCCATTAAATGCCGACAGAGCCAATAAGAGAAAAAAAGAATCAAGTGCTTTACCTTGCCATGCACTGCTGTCTGCACAGCCCGTGTAAGTGAAATGCATGCTATTGTATCTGTTTGGGCACAACGTTTGCAATCAATAGCACTCAGTGTATGAATGGAGATGAAGCCTGTGCTCGTGAAACCACTACTCTGAGCTACATGTTTATAAAATACATACGTACTAATCTGGACAGGGCATGTACGATGCTCCTATTACATGTTCCATTCAAATTCAACGTGAGAACTGACTTTACCTGAAAGATGGGGTACTTCACATAGTTGATCTCAATACAAGTACTATCAGATGAGGGCTTGCTAGACAGCAATGCTTTAAACCTAAATAAAAAGGAGCAAGATTGAAATACCAGCCGAATTTTCACTGTGAAAAAGTATGGCAAAGCGGAAAGACAGCATCAGTTCTTGCAAAAACAGTACACTGAAATGAATGGAATTGTCACTGGAAAGCATCAAGATTCAGACACTGACATAAAATCAAGTTCAAACCAAAAGGAAGAAGCTTCTCTTCTAGGAGATTTCAATATTAAATTTTGAAAAAATACATCTAATATAACAGAATAAAATGTACATAGGAAATTCAGATACTGTAATGATGCATATTACAAAATTTCTTGGAAGCAACATGATCTTTTAGGAAGACTTCCAACTTTTCTGTTTTGAGTTGCTGTTCTCTGATTATCAAAACGTGAAATTCAAACAGCAGAAGTTTCAGGAAAAAACATATCTTAAGTTAGTAATTGCAGACCTATGTGAGACATATACATATGTAGCCATCTATTTCTCAAAACCTGATATTCCCATTCTGTGAGAAGGTGAAAATGGGAAATGCGCTGTCAGAAACAATTGCTCTCTTTTTGATAATTCATCTGACCTTCTAGTGGTAGTGCAAAGCTTGGCTTATCTGTCAAGACCAGCATTTGCTGGATGGTAACCTTTTCCATATCACACTGGATCTTGTTAATTAAAATACGGATAATGATTGATTTGCTTCTACTGGTGTCAAACTCTACTACGAACACAATTTAGTAGCTTTGAAGCTGGAGTCTGGAACATGTTTGTACCTCTACCAATATGCTCTAAACCAAAATGCCCATTCCTTAATTGAAGGCAAGGTCAGATATTGCAGTTGCTTTATGCAAATCTTTACTCTGTGCTGTGGGTTGGCAGCATCAATACCCAGAGTGCTCAAATTATCCAGAATCCGTGGCTTGTCCTTGCCACATCTTGAAATAAGACCTTATGGAAGGCCAGCTAAATTTGTTTAAAGCACACCTATAATTACAAAGTTGGGTACAAATAAGGTTTGTTAGCAACTTTAAGCTTGGGTTGAGCTAGGTAACGTACGTCCAGCCTTACGAGCACAGGGAGCAGACCATAAATACTGCCTGTGGATACAGTATGATACATTTCGTCATTAATTTTATTTAAAAAATGTCACAGGCCTTCAATTAACTGCATGACAGTAGCTTGGGTTTTCCTGTCTACGCTGATGCAAGGCAGGATTTAGCCACTCACAGGATAAATGATTACTAAGAATCAAAATATTAAGACTCCTCCACAATTAAGAGCTTGGATGCAGCAACGAGCTCCATGCAAATGTGCCTTGGGTGCAATGAGGTCAGGTGCACGGCCAGAAGCGTGGATCATTTACTGGGTGGAAATCTAGTGATCAGAGCACTTGTTAAACATCCTGCAGATTGACCAGAAACAAGCTGTTGAGATTTTCTGCTTAGCAAAAACTTGAAGTTTGAGCTATTAGCCCTCAAAGAATCTTAACAGCACCAACAAAAGCAAAACTGCAAAATCAAATTCTACTTCTGTTAATGAAATGTCTCTATATCTTACCTTGGTGATGCAGTAAATAGCAACACTCTGTGTGCATAAAATGGTCTTCCTTCCACCAGAAATGTAACATCTGACATCTCTTTATTGTTAAGAAAATGAGGATCTAGAATCACAAGAAAGAAGAAAAAAAAGCCAATACCTTTATTTTGGAAGAGGTCACGAACATACAGAATATCTTCCTGTTTTGACAAAAGAAGACAATAGCATAAAAGGATATAATTTTTAATGAGTAAAGGCCATAAAACTATTTTGGACAGCCTGAGACAGAAGCCCTGCAGACAGCCACGTGGAGTTCAGATGCAGGGAGTTCAAAGCTTGGAAGTCTGTGAGGACCTTTGCTGAGGTGACAGCCAGCCGTCCCCGCCACACAGAGCTGCCACAGCCTCCCAGCTCTGCTACTCAAAGCAAACCACAGCTGAACGGATGCCTACGCTTATTTATACCCTATTACAGCCCCCTCTCTGTGCAAGGAGGCCTTTGTGCCAAGGGGAAGAAGGTCCCTAGGGTCTTCTATGGGTCACATTAAAACAACAAAGGCTCTGTCAGTGGGGCTGGAAGGGCCGCACCGCTGCAGCATCACCCACAGCCAGCCTTGGCAGTTTGCGATGCGGACAGACGTTTGGCTCCAGGCCCTGGGCTTGGATCCAAGCCTAATTAGCAACACAGACAAATCTTTGCAGATTTACAGCCCCACTCCAGCACACCTGATGACCCTCTGGATTTCAGCGGGAGTTTTAGGTCAGGCTAAGTTTGTGGCCCTTCCATGTTCTAGTTCTGCCTTTCAAAGTCAGGTTTTTCTCTGACTTGTGCTCTCTCAAGCACCCAGCCAGTGACACAGACTTCCCACAGCTCTCCTTGGAGAACCCACAAGCATCTTCAACTCACACTTACCAAGGCGAGAGGTCTGCTTGCGCTTAATTTCAACGAGCTTTGGAATAGGGTAGGGTCCATAGCAATGAGTGAAAATGACAGAGAGCTGCTGGCTGATCACTTCATTCTAAGCAAGAGAACATAAATATATGCAATGTAAGCTTAGAAGGCAAGGTAAGATCAGTATACAAAGGAGACCTAACATCGTTCTCAAGAGTTGCCTGTTTTGAAGCTGAAGAATGTGATTGCTGAAGACTTATTAAAAATCAGAGTTTAGGATTACCAGTATTTGTTAGAAATTGCAGTTCTCATTTACTTGATTGCTATGTCTCCTGTAGGAATCAAGTTAAAATGAAAAGTCCTCTCCTTGGACCAGAATTCATCTTTTCCCAACAAGCTCCATAGCCCCCGTCCCCTCTGTAGAAACAAAACTTTACAATAGCAATTTCACTTCGTTTGCAAACTTACTGTACTGGAAAACAACTGTTGGTCACTCTTTAGAAAATGCTCATTGGTCATGTTTTAGAAACCCAGAGCTACCAAACAGATACAACTGCATGGCCTGTGTATGTTTCTGAGCATAACAGTCTCACAGACGCACCGTCCCTTGCAGAGTGACAGAAGCATCGCAGCCTGTCCCCCTATCTCCTCACTCAATCCCAAATATTTCATTAATGTGCACTCAGACCGTGGGCACAGGCCTGGGCACCACTGTCCTGAGGAAGACACCAGACCTTCACAGAACCAGGTCTGGTCACTGCCTGCCATCACCTATTCCTGCCATTACCCATTTTTGCCCAGACTCTGGGGACAAGGCAGCCGCAGGACACTTTCCTAAGCACCTAAGCAACTTGAGTATTCGTATGCCTAAACTGCAAGGATAGTGAAATGGATTAGTGCTTAACTACCTAAGTCACAGCTGAAAGCAGGATTTAAAAGCATTGGAAAACTGTATCACACTCTTTGATGGTAACTGGAGCAGGTCTAGCCAAGTTCAGTGGTGCCACATGGCTAATTCATTTTGGCATCTTTTAACTACCCTGTTTGTTGGCAATTCCCTTCTACAACAGGAAACTGGTGAAAAGTTGAGGCACTTCAGTACAAGAGGGTACAAGGCCGAGGAAATAAGCAGGTAAGGGAGAAAAATGACCTTTATATAAAAATTCGAGGAGTGTAGATGTTATACTAAGAAATATCTCCAGGCTTATAGAGCAGAAGCTCAGTTCTAACAGCGGCGCTCCTTAAATCCCACAAGGGATGAGGAGGAGCGGCAGAGATCCTGTAATGACTCCTTTACTGCATCTCATCAAATGGGGTGGGAAAGGGTAGAGCTGTGCCCTCACAGACACACGCTGATGTCAAAGGAAATTACACACACTCACCCGCAGGCAGGAGCTGCCTTCCATGACTACGTCAGATGTAGCGGTAAAAGAAATGCTAAGAGAAGAGAAATACCAATACTACAAGATACCATTTAGCACGGGGGGGGGAACCAGCCCCTGGAGAGGGGCTCAGTACTGAGACAAGGACGACGTCCTGCACCAGGAGCATCTCTCTGTTCAGCATATCCCAGACGGAGCTCTGCAAAGCGCTTCACAGAGGGAGTGAATCACAGGGCGAAGAGAAAAGGAAGATTTAAGGCCAGATTTGAAGAAGGAAGTGACTCAGCTGCCGGGAGGGCTGGGGGAGAGAGCTCTAGACAGACAGGGCAGAAAGAGCAATTGCTTCTCTGCTGGGAAGGGCTGTGCCGAAGCGCCGTGGCCAACTGAGTCAGCCAGGGAGGAGCGTGTCCGGGGGGGATGCTGATTACCAGCAGGGCAGCTCCCAGTTGGATCTGGCAGACACAAAGAAGTCAGGAAATACAACAGAGGATGGAGATAATTCTGCAGTTCAGAGCGGAGGGAAGTTTCTGGAGAGAAGAGGCATTATTGGAAGAGCAATGCTCACCTTTACCCACAGTGAATAAAAGCAGAGTAACTGCACTAAAGCAGATAGCTACTGACAGCTCCCTCTTGAATCTGCCAGGATGCACAGGTCCTGCCTGTGCCATTGAGGTTTTAGTGGGACCATGAACTCACCAGTCCCAGCCACAGCTGTGCCTGGGCAATAGCTTTTTAAGAGCACACATATACATCAATAAAGACAGCACATCTCCTCCTTCTGGGGTGCCTGTAGGAACGTGCTGATGGAAAATCTGGGTATAGACCTCCCAGCACCTCATTAGGAGCCGGAGGTCTCACTCACCAGTCTTAGCCATGGCACGATGTACTGGGACTTCTAGGTGCACCAAGACCAGGTAAGACTGGGCCAATGCCAGTCACACAGGTGGGAGAAGAGGATCCCTGCTCGCAACTCCAACCAACACAATGAACAGGCTGTGCATACAGACAACCCTGTGGGAGTCTGCCTACACAGGTGAGGCGCTAACAGCTTCCTGGGTCACCTGTGGGGCATGAACCCAGATAAAAGCCCATTATAAAGCCACACTGCCCACAAGCTTGTGACAAACCTGGTGTAAACTAAGCTCTAATTAGCTCAAGATGTGATACGTTCACATACGAGACGCTTAAAAACCCCAAGACACAGAACAGAGATGGGACAAATTGAAAAGAGACCTTAGGATGGCACATCAAAGAAAGTAGGGCCATCAGACAGACACCGGCTCAATGCGCTGCAGAGCTTCAGACCTTCAACGGAGGACACTGCTCTCATTTAGCAGAGAAGAGGCTGGAGACCTTTGGCTTCTGTTGATAATATTAAATACCTACAACACATGGCACCAAAAGGCCAAAAAATGTGCTTGGCTAGAAAGCTGAAATATGTGCTCATTTAAGGTCATCGTTAATGAACAGCAGCAAGTTTTCTCCCAGAGACACAGGGAAGGGAGCAGTAAGCTGTTACACCAGAGAAAGCTCGTGTCCCACCCCACCCCACATGCAGACAAGCTCGCAGGGCTATGGCCCTGGATCTGCTTCCTGCAGGGCCTCTGCCAGCTTCTACCAATAAACCAGACAGAGAGAAGCAGCAAAGAGGAGCAAGAAAAGGGATGCTTTGTCTGTGACTGGATGGCTGGGGAAAAAAAATTGGCTTTTTAAAGCCAAATCCTGTTCTTGGAGCAGGCTGAACTGGGCTGCCTGTGAAGTAATGAGACAACTGCAAAAGTCCACAATGTGGAGCATCAGCATTGCTCTGGCAGAGAGGAGGATGTGTTCAGACTGTTTCACCTTCCCCTTTGCACAGTGCCCAGACTGGGAAGCTCAGAAGCTTCCCTGGTTACCACGTCCATCCCATTTCAGCACAGAGCTGGGTAATTCTTCGCTGTTTATCCTACCACCCTACCAGCTGACTGTGAAAGAACAGCTGTAAGAGCTCACTGCAGCAGTTGTGGGCGGCAATATTAACACCGGAGGAGCAAATTGAAGTTTGTTTTCTTGCTACAGCTTGATGTTGGAAAACATTGTGCCAGGATATGTAAGGCTGAGATCTGGAGCTAGGCCAGCTTCCTTTCAGACATGGGAGCTCATTCACAGCCAAAGGGAGCTGCATCTTCTGCAGTGGGAGGAGGAAGAAAGCTTGGCATAAGTTATAATAAAAATATTTATGTAGCCATGGGGTAGTTTACAGATAGGCAAGAGGGAGCAGGGAATAACAGTGAATCTTCTGAGGGAGCCAGTGCTTCCAGCAGAGAGTTGGTTGGTGAGCAAGCAACTTTGCTTTGTAGATACAAGCGGCCTCCTGACTTAAAAGCATTCTTCAGCAGAGATCTAAAGGAATTCCCCACTCCTGGTGAATGTGCTTGAACCGCAGAGGGAATTCATAAATCCTTTTGAAGCAAAGCTGTAGGTTTTCAATTTTCGAAGCAGTGATAACTCAATTACCAGTTGATTGTCCTGAAAAGAGGTGAAGACCCAGGTGGGGATTGCAGGGGTAATTTTTCCTGAATGTCCAGCTGATGAAGGTCTGTGGCAGGACTCAAGAAAGGCTCTTCCAGACTTCAGCACATATCCTGGGAGAGCTTGCTCCATTCCAGCTAACCCAGTTCAACCCAGCCTAGCCATTCCAGGATGTGGTCCTACAAGGTACTGGAGACAGCTGGGAAATACATAGCCGGTGTTCTCCAGCACCTGTTGAAGACATGTGTGGCTACACTCCAAACTCCCAGGTCAGAATCAGCACTTTGGCTAAGGCTTTGCTCTTCTCTGACCACACTTTGCTTTGGCTGCCTCCTCTTCATAGGCTCTTTCATTCCCACACCACCTCTCTCTGGACTGCTCAAAATCCACTGCTTAGGTCTCCTTACTGACCTATAGATATCCCACCACCTCCACACGGCTGTCCTCTAAAGCGGTAACAAGTTAGGCCGCTTTTCTTTGCCTCTGAAATCCCAAGCAGTGCTTTGGGTTTTCCTTCTGTTGATGTCACCTTCACCAGTTCTGCCCCATGAAGGCCCATTTAACCTAAGGCCCTCAGATTCCTCTCCCACAGAGCTCCAAAACCAAAAGCTCACCATGTAAAGCAGAAAAAAACCAACAAACCCCCACACTTACTCTTGTAGGTTTGGTGTCTGGCTGTTAATACCCATTTCTCCCCACCAAGCAGAGAAACCATGCTGCTCAGGGAGCAGGGGTGATGGCAAAGGTATCTGTTCTCTCTCTGGTCCAGAGGATGGTGCAACAACCCAGCTCTCTGCTAAATGCAGAGCAGCAGAAGTGCTGTTTCTCATCAACCATTTCACATGTGGTCCTCGGCAGCTGTTCCGGCAGTGGCAGTGTCTCAGGATACCCCAAGCCCATCGAGGACTCAGCCATGAACTTAATTCCACAACATGCTGGGATGCCCTTGAATTATTCCTCTGTTTATGCTCCCCTCTTCCCAGAAAGAGCCGATAAAGACTGAAGCAAGAGAGAGGGCTTTTTGCAGATCCCCCCAGCCCTGAGCACTCTAATTCTGTGAGACTTTCTTCACTGCCTCTCTGAACCTTTCCTATCCTTGCCTAGGTGTTTCCGCTACGGTCCCCTAGCATAATTCACTTTTGTCACCTGCCTTAAAACCGATTAAATGCCACTTTAGAGGGTGACTCCCAGGTGATTAAGCAGCATACACACAATTAATATTAGTCAACAGTTGCAAAGGTAGGGAAGCCCCAGAGGTTGGAAATACAGTTAGAGGCAGTGAACTGTGTAACAAAATGGGTTTTGTTAGTGCCGGGCTCCAGTCCTTCCACTGCAAACACGAACGGAAAAGAATTAATCACAGGTAAGGCACAAATGGACCCTTCAGTTAGCTCCTGGGAAAGCTGCCAAGCCTCCCTTTCAAAAGGCTCTTTATATCACAGCTGTGCATTGTATGCAAAAAGCTCGGATCCCCAGGCACAGTCTAATCCCTGGGTGAGAGCACAGCAAAGGGCAGGTGTCACATTCATGGCATTTATTTATTGCAAATGAAGAAACGGCTCCTGTCTCTGGCAGGGAAACATTTTAGAAGGAAGGGAAAAAAAGGGAAAAAAAAAATCAAACCTGTGTTAGTACGAAGCTGAATCTGTGTTATGAAAACACAAGACAGGGTTAACGGGGTGCTATTAACATGCCGCTCGGTACCTGGCGCTCCCTTCTCACACGGAGAATGCACGACATACACGTGTGGATAACTCGTGTCCTGGGTACTCTGAACTGTTTAGACACAGAAGTACTACAGATGACAATGGGCAACGTTACAGATCGCGGCAATTACTTGAGAACAGTGAGACTTGCCTTACAAAATCACTCAAAGTCCCAGCCAAAAGATCAGTCACCAAGCGCAGGCTGTGCCAGGTGACACACAGAAAGGCAGTAGCTGCTCCATGAACCCCATAAACAGGCACTTTAGCATCATGGAGGTCTTCAGGGGTACTTTTAGTGCGGGTTTTGGTGTGTCTGTCTCCTCTGTGGAAAGTCCACATCTTTCTTCAGTTAAAGTATTTCAGTCATCAGTCTAAATATTCCATTTTCAGGTGTTATTTTTTCAAGAAAAGTAAAATATTAGGTGGAGAACAAATACTGTAATGAAACCTGTCATTGTTGTAAAACCTCAATTTTCTGTCGAAAAGCAGTTTAAGAAGGAAGTAAAATTTCATGCAGCACAGAGAGATCTTTCCTGATCTGTCTCCAGGCAAGAGAAACATTGACAGCACTCTCCCAGGGGAGGGCTTTCCCCACAAGTGGAGCACAACCCAGTGCCTGCCCGAGCTCCAAACAGGGTTTACCTCTCCCCTCCAAGCTAAGCCCTCCCTGCAGAACAGGGCAGTCTGGCTTCACAGAGCACAACACTGCTTCACTCAAGCCCATCTTAAACATTAATTTCAGGCCATTATGAAGGATGGAAATTTTCTAGCTCCTTCCTCTTCCAGTGTCACTTCCTATGTCACGTGCAGACCTTGGAGGAAAGCTGATGTTTGCTGACCACCATGCCTGGACTTTGTAGGACAGATGCACGAGCTGGGTCTGTTGACATTCTCTGAGGTACCTCTCCCAGCATTTGTTTTATAGGAATTCAATCCAGAAAGATCATAGCAACAAAGAAACAGGATATCCATCTCAAGCTTCAGCTTCTAAGCATTTTTCTGGAACAGAGCAGGCAGGTGTTTCAGCATTTCCTGCTGCTTTCTGTTTGTTGGGAGACATGAAAATTTTCTTTCAGTAGTTACTGCATCTGTGACAAAGGCTACATGCTGCTATTTATGAAAAGATAAATTATAAAAGAAAAAAAACCCCAGACTTTACCTTCTAAGCAATTTTGGATTCCAAGTGGCTAAGCTACTGAGGAAAGAGTACTTTAGCTTTTGAACTATATAGGCTAGGTTTCTCAAAATATCCACATGCCTGAATCATTTTGGAATGTGAAAACTGGTTATTGTTTTCAACTGTTATTTGTTCTCAATAACTGTCAATGTCAGACTGATGGCTGCTATTCAAAAAGCTCAGCCTTCCAAAAGAGCCTGTGCGCTGCTGCAGGTTTCTTCAGCTGCCTATAGATGCATGTGTAGAGGTTGGGAAACTGCCGGAGTTTTAAATTCTGAGGAAACATCTTTGCAAAGTAGCTTCCTGCATCTTTCAACAAGTCTGGCTGCACAGTGTGATCAACACCTCACTAATGGGCTAAATTTTAAAATAAACGACCTTGTTGCTGACAGAAACTGATGGGAAGGATGGAGAGAAAGCTGCAGAATGCAACTGAGGGATGGCAATGAAGGACCCCTCCCATGACTTTTCCAGCTGATTTTGTCTTGGACGATACACTGGCAGGAATACTCATAGTCCTAGGCCAAGTTTTCCTCGTGTGAAGCACCTCCAGTGTCAGGCAGAGCTTCAAACAATGCCTCAGCACAAGCACTCAATGCACATGTGGACTAACATGAGCGCTTCAGTGATGCATGCCCACAAAGGATTCCAAGCAATGGCAAAAAGCAGCTTCTCGCCCATACTACAAGGGGCAGGGAGAAGTTGTAAGAGATCTTATTTGGAATTAAAAGATCATGTATTTTCTCAAAAAACTAGGCCAGACACAGCGTGGTGAAAATTGCTGTGCACAGAAAAAGCAGTGGATGAAACTGGCTCATAACTTTGTACTACTGGCAACGGTGCTGGCTCATTTGCATGGACAGAGCTGGCTGATTTTAATGACAATTCAAGCTCATGCTGAGCTCTGGAGTTGAAATCTAAAACCAGCCTCCTCCAGAGACCAGATGCATTTAACTTCCAAGGTTGTGGTTTTGGGTCTCTCTCTTTTCAGGTTGTGGAAATGTCAAGATCAAACTGAAGCAGCTCCAGGATTTTAATAGACAGAGGACAAAGAAGCATCCTGCATGTTCAGCACGTTGTCCTCATGAGAATCATCCTGCAGAAATGGAAGAGCTGACCTGCAAGCCCCACCTCGGGCACTACAGGCCTGCAGATCTGGGTGCAGACTCCATGCAGCTCTTCCTGGGGAGGCCCAATCTCTGAGCCACGGCTGCAAACACACCCACTCCTCAGGCAAACATGGTCCTCCACCATGGGGTAGGAGAGCAATCCAGTCCAGAGCCAAGCTCAGGCAAAGCAAATGTCAACCTCAGCTGGAGGCAAAGGAGAGCTTCCAGTGACAAGCTTGGAGGTTGCCCCAGGCCACAGAGAGCACAACGCAGCTTCCCACCGGCAGAAATTCTGCTGCATCTTCACAGAACCACAGAATCACAGAATCGCTCG